TCATGTAGCCCCTCAAACCTCAGATGAGGGCTGTCATGTCACTGTATGTCCCTGGAATCGTCAGCTGTATTCTTCATCTTACCAGGAGACCATCTCAAGAGCACATTTCTTTGTGGTACTCCCAATTGTTGCCTTTTGCCACCGAGAAATAATGGAATATCAGAAATTAAACAAAAATGACAAATTTACTGGCTAACTCAGTAATAGAGCCTCCAGTGGGAGTTCGACGTTAGGCGTTTAGTTCTCAACCGAAGCATATGCCTATTTTCTCGTTTTTCGAGTCCAATGATTTCATGATCTGCCAGGAGAAATACACCGTTTGACTGCACAGTCCTCTAGCCGTGGTTTCATTATATCCCTCATTCAGTTTCTGCTCGCTGCAACTTCTCACTATTTATTTTTTGTCTTCACGTCTGGTGAGACTGGGGAATATACTAACCAAGGTCTGAAGTACCGGACACCGTTTGAAACTGGAATGAATGAGCTCTTCGCTGATTTTTTTACGATGCTTTAGGAAGAACTTTAACCAAAATGTTGATCATTTAAAAAAAAACAGAATCCAAGTTTACTCTCTCTCTCTCTCTCAAGACAGTTTACCATTTTCCTCGTTCTACTTACCAACCGGATGGCGTACTTTCGAAGTAGCCAAGCAATCAAGAATTCGACTAGGAGTGCAACGAGGCTGAGCACATAGCCCACACAAAGGACAATGAAGACACCCGCAATCTGGTCCGGACGGAAACCAGGATCTTTGTTGGGCGGGGGACAATGCACGGCTCCGTAGGATAGCCATTTTTGTTTCAACATTTCTAGTACTTGTTCTGTCTGCAGATCCAGGAGGCTAAAATGGATACCAGCAACAGACGATAGTCAGAGGGCAGCATAGTCATCGTCCTCCTTTTTTCAAATGCCCAGAAACGGTCTGGTCAATTCCTAAAACAGTTAATTCTCCTAAAATTTTGGAGTAGCACTTCAGTACTTCACCAGAGGCAGGAGTGGATAAACAAAACCACGAATAAAAATGGCTAACATCTGAACGTGTTTACGTACAGAGCTAAAATAAATATCCCCACGACGGATCTTTTATGTCTAAGGAAAACAGGTAGGCAGTCATTTTGCGCACATGGCGGACACACAGTGGAAAGAGACGCTCGAAATGCAGGCGAGTGAGGTCAAACATAAAGAATAAAACGGACTATGGGTTCCGTCCCCTTCCCCGTCACTTGATGGAATAGAGATAAATGGGGGAAAATTGGAGCAGAGGATGGCATCTGCAGGGTTCTGCACGGTCCGAGCATTATATGGGTCCCTGCGCTAGAAGCTGTGGCTTGAAAGGTTGCCAACAGACGGGATAACTTGGACCGCGCGGTCAGCCCTGCGTGTGCCTGTATGGAGACGCCCACTGAAGGACTGAGAGTCAGGCTGCAA